TTAACCTAATTCCATAAAATATTATAATAATCCTTGCATTTGATACAGCACCTTATCACGTCTTCGCGATGTCTCAAAGCATTTCACATACTGTAATATACTGTAATGTGAATTGACTGTATATTTTGCAGACGAAACACAGCAGCCAGTTGTGCACAGCAGTGTCCCACAAACAGTTATGGATTGAGTGACCAATTTTTTTTTGAAGGAATTATTATCCCCAGAAAAGCAATCCATCAATGTTCTAACAACCGGGGTCCTACTTACTACTAGGTAAATAGAGGCGTGTGGAGTAAGGAAACTTGCCCAATGTTTCACTCTACCCTATTAGGTGTGGGTTGGCAAGAGCCAAGGCTTGAGGATCCCAGAGTGTGTGTTGGAGTACTTCTGGTGTCTAACTAGCTAAAAACACATAGTTTGGCATTGATATTGCTGTCCGGACAGCTTTCCCGCTGCTTGTCCAGCAAGGCCTCGCCCACTCCTTAGCCTCCTTCAAATCCCACCTTAAGACTCTCCCCTTCGACCATGCCATCGGCCACCTCCCTTCTCCCCCGACTCCAGCACAGGTCTGAAATGCTTTTTTGGTCCAGCATATTTCTATGTGCCTATGTATTACTCTGTGTTTTACTCTAAATATCCATAACTACTATAATAATCCTTGCATTTGATACAGTGCTCTTCATGTCTTCTAGACATCTCAAAGCATTTCACAGAATACAAGGTAAGGTAAATTGACTGTATATTTTGCGGGCGAAACACAGCAGCCAATTGCGCACAGCAGTTTCCCACAACAATTGTGTATTGAAGGGACCAATTTGTTTTTTTTATCTTGAGGGATTATTATTAGGCATGTGTGTAGTAAGAAAATTTGCCCAATATTTTGCTTGCGAGGTGAGTGCTCTAACCACTGAGCTGCAGGACTCCACATTCATTCTAAACAGCAAGTTCCCAAACCAAAATAGCATTGAACTGTGTTGGTTGACTGGAACCTTCCTACTCAGTTGGAGTAGCTATTCTCTTTTTGGAGCAGTTCATCAGTTCAATTTGGTTCAAATTAGGACCATGTTTTGCTGTTATATGCAAGTCACTAAAAATGAGGAAATTAATTAGGTTCAAGCTTTTGACAAATGGTTGTGGACTAACCTGATCAGATTATCCTTTATATTCCTGTGGTTGGAGAGGGGAAGTTACTATATAAATTCAGATGTAAAACAGGTGATTGTTGTCAAAGATAACACATGTGATCTAGATGATCCAATGGGAGAATAAATAGAAGGTTAATACCCAGAGACCAATTATGACAAAGAAAGAGAAAAAAAGAGGCTGTGGACCTGCAAATCAAGTTGAAATCTTTCTAAATTCTGAGTGTAAAGTGTTTCCATTTTATTTCAGAGGTCTCACACAACAGTGAGAAGTGGGGTCTCTTTAGGGCTGAGTTAGTTCCAAGGTGTTTCTCATTGTTAAATCCTGTTCGTCTCTATCTCTCCATCTCTATCAGAAAACATGAAATGAGAAAAGATAATTTCGCCCATTTCGCTTCTCTCACAGATTAAACATAACTTCCTGTCACAGATCGATAGAAGATAAGACTATGTTTACCTACAGCTACACAGACACTAAACTTCACTGTAAAATCCTAATGTATATTCTGTGAGTCTCAATACAATTAGTTGCGGCAGTCTGCAGTTCTCCTGTGGATTGTTGATAATGGACCAGCCAGTCTGGCTTGTTAGTGAGACTTGGAGAAGCAGACCAGTCACTGCGGTTGGGATTCTTCCCATTAGCTCCAGATACCTCTGCAAGACAAAACTTAACAGTTAGGGTGGTCCTTGTTGGACAAGCACTGCTCTAAAATAGTCAGATACACAATTTTAACTGGTTAATTTCCAGAAATACCACAAAGCACACTCTGGTGCACTAAACTTTGGCTTTGACCTCTACCTAAATTCTCTGGGATTGGGTAAGCAGGATGAGGAGAGTGTGTACACCTAAAACAGGCAAATGGAAACAATCCATTTGTAGAATTCTTAGCAATTTGAATGGTAGAGGATTTTGCACATGTCACATACTTCGCTGAGCAAAACCACACACAACTTGGCATTTCAAAACTCAACACTAGGTGGAGCCAGAGTATTTCCCAAAACCTTTATTTTTGTTCACTGCCATTGTATGGTTTCTTTTCCTTTTGCTTTGTACAGTATTTATGAAAACACTAACCGCCTAAATCCAATTGCCATCAATGATACGCCTATAAATTTCTGCTCCAAAGTTCAGATTGAATCTGACCCGAGTCTCTGTTTGGAGAAAATAAATCAAAATGAAGGATTTGGGCCCCAACAATTTCAGTTGCGCAGAAATAGATCCTGTTATTTTGGAATGTCTCACCCACCATTTTAGGTTTCATTCAATCAGTGGAAATATGAAATTACAGTTGTAAGTCGACTGAATTGTGCTTGATAGTGGTTCTGTGCACCAGAACTTTAAGTTTCATTAGAAAAATGACCAATTTCTGTTACAAAACCTATCCGGTTCTCATAATAAGGTAAAAGGCTGAGTCAAAATTAATAGCTGAGAAATACTGGATTATGTCAGTTTTCCCCAATAGCAGGAAGCAGTGTTGTATACAAAGGCAAAACATTTCTTTAGTTTCGTTAAGCTGCAGAAACCACTTATCTTCAAAAATATAAAAATCCAGAATTTCTGTAGACATAGCAGAAACCAATAAATGATGGCGAGTAGATTCACTGCTGTATATTACACTTGCTCCATGAATTTGTGTCATTTTGTTCTATTGAAAGAGCTAGAGTTGTGAAGTACAGTGAGGTCCTAACGCATACTGTTTACTAATGCTAGCAAACATTTATTTGCATATGTAGTAGTGATGCTTTCATAACAGATCTGTTCTGAAAATCTGTGATCTGTGATGAAACATTTAATTTTCCATCTGTTCAAATTTATGCCTTAACTCAATCAGTAACCTCTGAAGGACTCAAGGGCTAGCCCTGGAGGCTGGAACAACAATCACAGCTACTATGCAGGAAAACAGAAAGACTTTGCTTAAGATCTTGGAATCAGTTTCAGACAGAAATATTGACCTGAAATCTGGGAGGAGTGCACACCTACAGCCAATTTTTCAGAATATATGGCAGAAAACATTGTTTCATAACAGATTTGGTGTCACCTCATCTACTGCTTTTGCAACCATGTAATAATAGTAATGATCTTGATTGAATTGATATCTGAGTTTTACTGAAAGATTTCAAATCGAGGGGACATCAAGGCAGTCAGTTTCTCAACATGTTTGTGCCTACCTACTGAGGCCTCTGGTAACTTCTTCCTCCTCTGAGAGGGATCAAGAAAGCCAAGGTGTCATCCTGGCTTGGTTAGTAGCAATCTCGTCTTGAAAAGGTTGTGGTTCAAGCCCCACAATGGGACTTTAAGCTTGCAGTATAGGCTGGCACTTCAATGCAGTCCCAGGGGAGCACTGGATTGTTGGAGGTGTCGTCCAATTGTATGAAACGCTATACCCAAAGCCCCGTCTGCAAGTTCAGGTGGATGATAAAGATCCCATGGCACTATTTGAAAAGAGAAGAGAGTTTCTCCTGGTGACCTGGCCAACAATCCCCCAAATAAAATTGGTCATTCACTTTGTGAGATATTGCTGTGTGGAAATTGGCTGCTGTGTTTGTGTTCAAAATGCACACTCATTACACTTTACAGTATATCCTGTGAAGCGCTTTGAGATGTCCTCCTTGACTGGAAGGTGCTAAATCAAATACAAGGTTTATTATTATTAACCCACAATTCTTCACTGGCAACATGGTTGCTTAAAGAGAAACACATGCATGCAGAGTTCCAATGTCCTATTTCACCTCTGTATAGACCTTCGACAAGAAAAGGACTGCAACTTATTAACTGCAACTCAACATGAAACAAACTGCATTGTAAATAAAAATACACAAGAGGCATTGACATACGATAAAGTAATATTTACATTTATATAGCATCTTCGACATTGGGAGGACATCTCAAGTGCTTGACAATGCTGTCTGGGCACCTAAGCTGGGCAGGTCCAACCAGCACAAATACATAATATATTGGTTGATTGATTGACCTATTTTGCTCTTGATCTACGTTAATGAACACACTGTTGAAAAGCATGTTCAATCAACATCAACTCGACCATGGATGTGATGCAGATCCTTCCCCCAAAACACTGGGCCTGTTGTTTAGCAGGATATTGTCTTAACTCAGAACATCAGAGTTAAGGCCACATCCTGCTACCAGCAAGCTGATGTGCAAAAGTTGCTGGCTTCAGTCCCAACCATTGTGACACAATGTGTGTGTGTGTGTCGGGGGTTCACATCAACCAAACCAGTCAATGTCTTCAGGTATTGATTGACCGCAGTTAATTAACACATTGAGGTCACAATTTTCATCTTACAATGAGTTTGCATAATATTTAAAGCAGAAATTGTGCTTGCAAAAGCATAATTTTCAGAGAGTTTGCTGGAAATGAAATTATTCTTGTGCTGACATTTTACAGGAGTGATGTAAACCACTGAGTAAATTGCATTGTGACTGTCTGCCACCCTGTGTAATGAACTCAACGTTGTTTATAGTAGTGGTTTAGTCTCAAATGCTTTCTAGAGCTTGGATGCAAATGTCTCAGAATACACTGCTGCAATCCGGTTGTCAGATCAGAGCAGACTGACTGATCTGTGTGAGCTGTGCTCAGAGGAAAGCTGTCCACTCTTGTGTGCATGCAGGTACCATCATTCCATGACTGCAGAATTGCTCTGGAAGCTGTTAAGGAATCCTACACATCTAGCAAGCAAATGCTCCTCAAATAATTTTCCTTTTTATTTCCATGAACAATGTCAACAAAAGACGGAGTAGAGGAAATCCAACGGCACTTCCTAGATTTCAGAATTATAAGAAATTCCACCTAAAAAAAAACTTAGTTTCAAAGATTTAGTAATTGTATTTCGAGAAAAAAATCACTAATTCCATTCTTTATTTTTTCTGTTCTATGGTGTTTAATGCTACATTGTTGTTTCTGCTTTTTAAACAGTTTGGGATATCCAGAAACGCGAGTACTTTCGCCAACAATATATACAGTATATTCTGTGAAGCGGTTTGAGACGTCTCAAAGACGTGACAAGGCGCAAGGATTATTATTATTATTAAACAAAAACAGAGAGAGCTGGGAAAACTCAGCAGGTCAGACAGCATCTATGGAGAAAGGAAAGTGAGTCAACGTTTCGGGTCCACGACCCTTCATCTCTCTGTTTTTGTTTCAGATTTCCAGCATCTGCAGTATTTTGTGTTTTGTTTATTAATATTATTTTTTGGTTTTGATTTTTTGACACTTCAAACATTAGTATTCAGTTTCCTTTCTCATTTTGTTCCATTTAAGATTTTGTTACTATTGATTCCATCCACATTGACAGTAATCCTTAACCCAGATCCCAGTACAAGAGAAACAATGAACTTGAAATTATGCTTTTAACAATTGGATTTATCCACACAAGAGTGAATTAACATATGGAGGGGAAGGGAAAACACAATATCCATAGTAGAAAGTCACAAACAGCATCAGACACATATCATATGTAAAAACAGTAGTCACTGGGAACACCCAGCAGGTCAGGCAGTATCTATGGAGTGAGAAAAATTAGGTGATGTTTCAAGTCGATGACCTTTCGTCAGAACTTTAGTTTTTTGTTCAGACACATAATAATAATATCATGTTGTTCCAGGCTTGTTGGTGACTGGAGACTTCCAATTTATACATTTCCAAAATACAGTCAATCCACTTTATAATAGATTCTGTGATGCTCTTTGAGACGTGTCAACTGTGTGCTCAGGCACTATATCAAATGCAAGGATTATTATTATACACAAAGTATCAAAATTCCAGCAGAGCAGAAATGTCTGCAATAATTTAAATCATTTGATTTTTTTATTTACACAACTTGAAAAGGTGACTGTACAGTTTAAAAAAACAACTGTACTGAAAATGTAAAATAGTATCAACATTTATACATGAGCAACCATTTTAATATGTTTACACTTTGTCTGAAACATATTATAATATAACAAAAATAATCAAAAGCAAAGGAATCTATATTTAAATCCTTATATAGGATTCATCAAACCAATACCTTTTTTTCAAGTGCCACTTTGTTGCTGAAATCTCATTTTGTTTTGATGGCACATCATAACTTCCTCCTGGTGTCGTTCTCACTGTGAAGAAGGTTAATCTGTTCTTGTGTAGGCAATGTGTTGGCAACTCAGTGCTCTTCAGTTCATTTGTTTGGGTTTATAAATGTGTCTTTTTTGCTTGTAAATAAATGCAATTGTAAAACTATAATTGCTCTTCAACTTACAACAACACCATGCATACAACATATTGTGATTTTGAACAGTTTCCTAAATTTGTTTGGTCAGCCGGGTGTCTGACATTTGTGGAAACCCATCACTTTGTCTAAGAGTATCCAAACCAGACTGAGAGCTCCACGTACACACTCAAGTTGTGAATCACATCCTTTTGCAATATAATGTTACCTCTTTAAAGCACACCTGAAGACACAGATCTGCCATAATCAGTACCCATGAGGAATCAGAGAATAAACTATACAATATACAAACTAAGTACACAATCAAATAAACATTTCAGCACATTTCTACTGAATGTATTGTGTTGCTTTGTTCTTACTTTCGCTGTCTCCAACATACTTTTCAAAAACTGATTTCATTTCTTTTGCAAAATAGATTTATTTTCAGTTTATGTTTCCCATTTTGACAATGGTGCCTTCAAACTGTAATGCATTTGAAAAAAATGTCAATGGGGAATTATCTGGGTAAATGACAATTTGATTTGGAAAAAACATCTTGTGATGTAAAGTCTGTCTCTTCCAAGAGACCCTATATACCCCGGCCTAAAAGTCCTTGGCTCTAACCTAAGATTGTCTATGAGCCAAGTTTTCACAGGTTGACGAAGTGTACAAGGGGTTATATTCCCAAGATGCTTTTCCCAGTGTCAGGGCACCATGCATGCAACTGTTTTTCCAATGAGTAGTTTTTCAACCCTGTAGTTTAAAGTACAATGTACATCACTGTCTCTCCACTTACCACCTTGGAATAAACTGCTGGACTGATGCTTCAGTTACAATTTACATTTACCTAGAACCTTTCACCTATGAGAAAGGTCTGACAGTGCTTTACAGAATAACATTAACAAATATTAACTGCAAATGGGTAAAATACACTTTAATTTGTGCCTATCAATGTTTACTATTGAGTTCCCTATACACTTTACTAACATTTCCTTAATTCTAAAGTATATAACTATAATTTATAAAATAAAACTAGTTTCTAAAGAGTTTCTTCATTCATGTGTAGATACACTACGTGATTAACTGTAACACTATAAATGTTACTCAGTTCTGACACTCATTCTTTGGTCCTTGTTGATACAAGTGACTTTTAGCCAAAACATTATTTGTCCTTGGGAGGAGAAAGTGTGCAGACGTTTTGGACCAGTCAAACTTGCATGTGGTATAAGCATTAGACAAATTCCTGATATAAGCAACTTAATTTTGTACTTGTTTGTTTACCAAGTGCAAGCTAGCTCCTGATGATATAAGGACTGCTGGTTATGAGCAACATGTCCTCCACTGCATTAAGGTTGAAGAGCATCGTATCATACACCAGGATATGATATACAAACAGGAAAATAAGAACCCAAATGTCATTAGTATCACTTTGTCCATGTCCAGTATTTCTTAATCATTTTCTCCATGTGTGCTTGCAATAATTCATTGACACCGAGGTTTTATAACCCACTCGGCATTTGGATTAAGCTGGTATAAATCTTTCATGTAGGTGTCGTCATCCAGACAACGTTTTCCTGCAACACAAAGTACATTTTTCAAGCAAACATGGTCAAGTTAGCTAAGTTAACCAAGTTAAGAGTGTAAATAATTATTATTACATATTCACAATTTTAAGCAGTAGATTCTACCAATCCACTCGTGCTAAAGGTATCACTACAAACTGCAGTAACCTTGTGCCATTGCTGCACACAAAAGCTCTCCATCTGATCTAAATAGTGACACTCTCCACATTCAAGTCAGTCGGGCTCAATTGTGACATTTCAGGTGGATGTCATGGCACTATTTGAAAAGAGAAGGGAGTTTCTCCCGGTGTCCTGACCAACAATCCCCAAATAAAATTGGTCATTCACTTCATGGCTGTTTGTCAGACATTGATTGCTGTGTGTAAATGGACTATCATGTCCATGTAAAAATATACAGTCATACAGTAAATCCTATGAAGCGCTTTGAGACATCCTGATGTAAATGTACCAAATTCCAAATGGAAGAATTATTATTATTATTTGTCTATATTTATATGAGATTGATCCAAGCAGCAGAGGGTGCTCCCGCTGAAACAAGCGTTCACTCATACTTACTAAATAATTAAAAAATTCCAAATGATGTTTTAGACTGTATACAGTGAATGAAGATTTTGATTGTATACAGTATACTCCAGATAACATTGACCATTCTCTGTGTGGCTGTTTGTAATAATAATAATACTCAGACTCAACACCAAGGTAGTAATAATAATAATCCTTGTATTTGATATAGCGCCTTATCACGTCTTTGAGATGTCTCAAAAAGCTTCACAGAATATACTATAAAGTGAATTAATTGACTGTATATTTTGTAGGACATTTTATGCGTAAATTAGCTGCCATGTTTATCTGCAAACCTGCAGTTACTACACTTTACAAAAACCTTGTAAAACACTTTAAGATGTTGTTGGCGTGATATCAAATGTAAGGATTATTTCACTTTTAATTATTTCTTACAAATTTATCAAAAGTGTATTAAAAATTATTCCACACCCAAATTATAAGAAAATCCTTACCTATATTACCCCCAATTTCATACAAGCAAACCTCCTCTTTATTGGCAGGCTCAGCAATTCCGTTGCTGTGAACAAAGGGTATTGTTACTACACAGATACACTGTAATGCCGGTCACATAATCAGCAAAGAACTAATACTATTGACTACAGAAATCAAGCTTCAAGTATAGCCAGTTATAACTTATCTTGTTGCATTTGGGGGCAGTAAAGCAATAGAGAAAACAAATCAGTGGAGGTCAGCTCACCTGCTCTGACTGAGATGCTGTTGGAAACGTGCCAAGATATCACTAGCTTTGAGCTCTTCCGTTAGTTGAATCGCCATGGAAACTTTGGAAAGATATGGTGCCTGAACACGGATTACTCCCTGAAGAACCACTGACTGCAAGAACACATCAGCAGGAGACAATTAGAAGATTTTATTTCCCCACAGGTAACAGTTATTAATCAAAGTGGAAAAAATATTACAATATGCATCTCTTTTTGAATGCTGACCAGAGGGAGAAAAGCTCACCCAAGAGAACAACATGCAAATCTCAGTGACTTACACAAAAGCTGAGCTATTTTCCACAGACTTTTAGATGCTTCGAACACTATCACTTATTCACTTTGTTCAAGCGTCGGTGTTAATGTAATTCTCTGATTGAGTTCATACCCATGAATCCTCCCTCAGACAGTGATCAATTAGAGGCACAGACTGAGCAGCTAAAGGCTTCAGCAATGTATGAAAGGAAGGAGGGAAAGAAGATCAAATACAGGGAAGAAAGGAAGGAAATGCAATGGTGCTGAACTGTGAGAATGTTTCCTTGTCCGTCCACTAAAGCAGAGAGCAACACGTAACAGCAGGAGTACAATAACAAAGAGAATATCCCAATACTTATATATAAATACTGTATCACTTGTGAAAAAAAGTCAGACATGTATTGAAAATTACTCCATACCAGAAAGAAGTTATATAGGCCTCTGGAATAAGACATTCAGCATACAGTGACTAATAACTAGAATATGATCCTTTTCTCAACATAGCCTCAAACCTCTCCAACACAATCGTTTTTGTCATGCTCTAATCCATCAGGACCATGATGGTCATTGATACTTTGAACATCAACAACAACAAAATTACATTTATAGAGCGTCTTTCATGTTGGGAGGACGTCCCAAAGCGCTGAACAGTCAGGTGTCAGGGTCCGAGCATGGGAGAGGGGTGTTGTATGGGTGAGGGAAGGCGGAGAGGTGGGAGGGCAACCAAAGGCACGATCGAAGAGAAGGATCTTGAGACGGCCTTGAAGGAGGCAAAGGAGGAAGCGAGGCGAAGGGACCGTGGGATGGAGTTCCAGAGTGCGGGGGCAGAACAACAACAACGGAATTATATTTGTAAAGCACCTTTCACGTCGGGAGGATGTCCCCAGGTGATGAAAAGTGAGGGATCAGAACTTTAGTTATTCCTCACAATGTCCAAACATACCATCCTACATGCTTTACCTCATTCCTGCACTGCTCTATCCATGACGATTGTCTTGGACTACGGGATGTAGCTTTGCATGAAGCTTCTCAATAACCACACAAGTTAATCAAAAACAGAATACTCGATGGACTAAAGACCCTATGGGGCATATTAGACCTGTCAGTGTGGAGAGTGACATTACAGTAATTAATTGGGGACTATCTAAAGCTAACTGCCAATAATAGCAGTCTTTTCAATGAGACTTTACATTGGGAAATCCCAATCCCATTATAAAGACACAGCAAAAAAGATTGTTATCCTTAGTGATCGGTGTAAGATAGATCCAATTGCGTTTCAGGGCTGAAAGAGCACACTCTGTATTAGGTGTATCTTGCTGAAGGCTCAAATATGATGGGTTTGCACTGAACCATTTGGGATTGACTCTTGCATTTGACTGTCATGTATTTTTATGGCTATTCAACTTGAACCTGTAATTCTGAATAACAGTACTGTATTTTCCAAATAACTATCTGTATTACATTTGGAGAAATGTTTGGTACAAAAAAACTTAAAAGCAAAATTTTCTTGTCCCAATTTTGTGAGATTTTGACTTGACATATGTTACTGATAATATAAAGAACATAACAATAAAATAAAGATGTCACATTAGTTATTTGAAAAACAACTGGAAAACAAATTAAATGTTATAAGCGTTAAAAATAAAATTTCACCTTTGCTCTATGAAGTAATGAAAATATGTTTCTTCCTGCTATTTATCCAACATAAATAAAACTCTCCTCACACCTTTTCTTTCCAATTTATAAGTAATAATAATCCTTTCATTTGATGTAGCACTTTTCACGTCTTCTACAGACGTCTCAAAGCACTTCACGAATATACTGTAAAGTTAATTGACTTGATATTTGTGGGCGAAACGCAGCAGCCAATTTACTGTCCTAAAGTCATTGACTTACCAATGTACATGTGAGTAATAGAACCTCCCTGGTACATCATCCAAGCTCTAATTTTTCATGTATGAGCTTTGAAAGCAAATCTCAATTTCTTGCATTGGGTCGTACATTGGAGCTGAACACAAATTTATACTCACTTGATATCAGCTACATAATTTTCTAGCAGGGGGAAGGATGGCGATTAGGAGCAGAAACCCTGGCTAACTTTCCTGTTCCCCGGCTCACTCAGAGGTGCTAATGTGAATTGTTGTAAATTCAACTGCTATTTTAACTGATGTCCAGTAACTCAGCACAGACCAGGAATGAAACTTGTGGCATCTGAGGTCTGTGTGTCTCAGCCCTACGCTGGGTGGATGTTGCCTTTATACCCCTTAGACATTAAGGACTCCTACATCCTTCTGAAGTAAGCTTTCCCTCACTGAGTTAAAGTGAATGAATCTCTAGCAGCCACAATACTTAAATTAATTTCTGTCCTCTCCCAGACCACTTTATATGTCACTATACCAGCAATGACATCTTGCATTTACCCTTCATGTAGGATAGCATCTCAGAGCATTTCACAGTAGCGGAGTTAGATGCCAAACTAGCAGGAAAGGGAGGAGGTGACGAGGCCAACTGAAGAGCTAGGTTTTAAGATAGGATTTGAAGATAGATAGAGAGAGGGTGAGTCAGAGGAATAAATGCAAGCAGTTCCAGAGGTTCGGGGAATTCAAAGAGGTCACAGTCAGACGTGGGAGGCAATTCTTTTTTTTTTGGTCAGCCAGGTTTTGGATCTGGGTGCGGAAACCCATCACCATACTCGAGAGTATCCAAACCAAACTGAGAGTTCCATACATCCCACCTATACAATGAAATTTCCGAGCTATTTATTGGAGTGTAATTCGCATTCTTTCTCTGAAAAGATTCATCCTATTTACCTATTTCCTGAAAATATTAGGCACAGGTTGTTGTCAAGAGCCAAGGCTTGTGGACCCCAGATAATGCTGAAGTCTAACCAACTGCAACCACATAGCTGGCATTGTCTGGCAAGCTTTCCTGCTGCTTGTCCAGCTAGGATCACCCTACCTGTTAGGGATTTGGCTTGCAGGTAGGGGTTGCAATACTGAAATCCTGATCCCGGGAGCCAGTATGAAATGGTGCCTCCAAAATCCCAACAATTGCATGACGATTGCAACTACTACTTGCAAGGCTAACATGAGTAGAATGGGAAGAATCCCTATCCCCCATTGACTGCTCTGTCCCTCTAAGTCCTACTGATAAGGTATGCTGTCATCAGCAGTGCCTTGGAATACTGTGGACCCGCCTGGTTCAGGAACCGGACTATTGAGATCACCACAGAGGGTGAGCTTGATTCTAACATTCCACTGGCACACATGTTATCCTGGATCCAGTTCAGCGCCAAGGACACACCCCGTTTACCCCCTTCCGCCCCCCGCCCCCACCCCCCGCGTCACCACGGGGCACACTCACTAACTGGTGAGGAGATTCATTGGACGAGGATCAGATGAAAGAGAAGTTTCTCAAGACGACAACTGCAAAGGTTAATGGAAAGTGCTGAATAATTCAGATATATATCAACTGCAATGTCACTTCCAACAAAAAACACATTATGTTTAGCTTTATCTTCTGGTTGGGGCTGGAGAGGAAACATCAGCTGAGTTGTAAATGAGTCAGTAAGTAGAGTCAATACTGAGATGCTGGTGACAGATAACTGCTGCAAATTAACTTCGGTGTTATTGGTAATTCTAAAATTACTCAAATGTCCTGATTTAAACATAATAAGTGATGATATCTGATCAAAGAAAATGATTAAAATATAAATGTGAAAACATGAGGTATATGTGTAATCGCACTGTAACTAAGAAAGCACAAATGACCCTAGTAGTCAATTCAGTCTTTATCTCTTGCTCACACACACTCTATAATCTCTCCCAAACTGTTTTATTTTCCATAGCTCTTTTGCTCTCAGATTTTTGGAATTCCAGTGACACTTTGGTAGTGTTAATTCTTTCCCTTTATGCTTGCCTATGATTTGATTTTTGCTCTCTGTTTCTACAGTCTATTAATCTCCCCATATTTGACACATAAAGACAAAATGATTGATAAATCAATCATAAAGATAAAGGGGAATCTCATTATTAGAACATTGTTATTGTACCTCATCCATTGATTCACATTATAAGCAAAGTGTTAAAAAAAGGCTGACTTCTGAGTCATCAGGTTGCCAGTGTTGTCACTTCCTGTGAATACCAGCACACAATGTATGGCAAGTAATGTCAGTAAAAATTCACTGATGTGGAGTTTGGAGATTTTTTAATGTGGAATGCTGGCTTGCTTGTCCTGGAAGTCCAGTATACCATGCACAGGAACCAGCGCTATAAGTGAGGCTGTGCTCTAACAAAGGGTGCAATAATGGTGTTGCCCTATATTAGTGATCTTACTCAGTCATGGCGTATTGGAATCCAGTATCTGGAGTAATTTTTCCTCCAGTAATTTTACCACTGCCATTGGCTTTCACTGGCACAGGAGCAGCGTCTTATCACAGAGCCTTCCTGACATCCATCAGTGCCACTGAAAGTTTTCACTGGCACTGTGGATGCTGGGCTAGCTCTGGCCCGTTCTAATCCCTAATCTGGAAAGAACAAGGGCATATGGAAGGAGTGATGGAAGAAAGTGTTGGAAGAGTTTTCTTTCAAGTAGACATAGAGCAGGGATGACACTGTTGAACCTCTGCGCCAACTGGTCTCCATTGAAGTCACATCCTGCATATTGTGCGTTGATATGCACAATTAGGAAGTGACAACAGCAGCAATCTAGTGACGCAGAAGTCGAACCTTTTTAGTGCTTTGTTTATGTCATTCGGTTTAAATGATAAGAATTCAGAATTGAATCATAACTGGTGAACCCTGCAGGTACCCAGATCTGCTAGATGTCAACCCACTGGATCTCAGAGTTAGGCCCCTGAATAAGGTCAGAAAAATCATTTATTAGCTTTCATAAATGATCTTACTAAGTGTCAATCTAAGATGGCTGTAACCAGGCCTTTAAAGACAGTTTGGGTGCTCTCATTATTTCAGAAGTCAGGAGGATGTTTGAATATACCTTTCAAGCCCACAAAATATACAGTCAATTCACATTAAAGTATATTTTGTGAAGCGCTTTGAGATGTCTCCAAGACATGATAAGGCGCTATATCAAATCCAAGGATTATTATTAATATTATTAAACATACTGCTTAAAAAATTATGGATATGACAATTTTGACCCCCAAAATACAGAATAAGACCAATATAATAATCAGAGACTAATATCTCAGCTGTCACATTAAAAGAGCACAGAAAAATGTCTGACTTCTGTCATCAGGTGCAAGAAGTGCCTGTAATATTACTTATTGTGCAGGAAGTGACATTAGCAAAACTTCCTGTATATGGGGCACATGTGCATTGCAGAGGAAGTGAACACCAATGGGACCTTAAAACCCAGACATCAGCCAATTTTTTCCCATGGGCATGTACCACGTATCCAGTAACCAAACATCTACAGGGCCCTCACGATAAAAGCAAAGCTACACTCTGGTGAGACACTTAATAACAGGGTAGTCCTGTACAAAGGACGGTGAGAGAAGGAGATTTAAGTAAAATAATTTAAATCTACAGAAGAAAGCAATTTGGTACATCATATCTGTGGTGACTCTTTTAAGAGTAATCATTTTAGTTCCATTTACCTGCCCTTTCAATACAAAATTACATTTCTATAGCACCATTGACTCCTTTTAGGTACCTATCTGGTTCCCTATTGAAAGCTAATATGGATTCTCTTCTTTAACCTTCTGGTGGCAGAGCATTCCATATCCTAACTGCTCTGTGCATGAAAAAAAATCTCCTAACCTCCACATTTGCTTGTTTTAACCATCTTAAATTGATACCCTTTAGTCAAGTGGATGAAGAAATTACTATATACGGGACCATCAGGCTTCACAGGAAGATCGAGCAAGTTCATAAATTAGGTAATTTAAACCGTATTTCTTCTGCAACCATATAATTGTGATGAGTTGCTACAGAAAATTGGCTTTGGTCCAATATTGCATGATTTTCAAGGCTGCTTTTCCTCCCAAATTATGATACAATAACTAATGATGATATTAAACTGCTGACTGAAAATATTTTGAAATAAAATGTTGCAGTGTATGGCCTTGGAGATTGCTTACATCTGTTAGACACTTCTCCGATTGGCTCCTGTCGTACTTGTCTTTATCATAGGCCATCTTTTTCAGCAGCTTCTTCATGGCCTTGTCTTTGGTTTGCTTCTTATGGTTTTCAATGTTCCTCTGTCGAACTTGAATCATAATAAACTTTGGAATCTGGAATGTGTAGAAAGAATTTTTTTTAATATATTCAGCACTTTTCCTGAGGTCTAAAGATCTAGATCCATGACGTCTGGGTTTAGTTGCTTCAAATGTATTTTCACAGCGTTGCTAGGATAAGTACTGAACAAACTCCACTGCCAGAAGTTAAGTGAACAACACCAGGTCTTTGAAAACCTTTGAAAAAACTTTGAAAAGGACGTGAAAAGCGCTATATCAAATGCAAGGATTATTATTATTATTATTATTATTATTTCTAGAGCTCCACTCTTCAATAACAGCGATGGCATTGCATTTTTTTCCACTATTTTCTAGGAGATGGTCCTGGATTTTAGGGGACGAGGGAGTTGAAAGTGGAGGAGAGGCGATCATGGAGCAGCTAGATGGCTGCTTCAGGATCTCCATGGGTGGAAGGCCAGAAGGATAGGATGTTTGATAATGTGAGGGCATTTGTGAGAGTCTCAGGGGATAGCCTTTTCCAAGGGCGGTAGAGAATGGGTTGAGGGCTTGGTGGAGGAGAGAGGGATGTGAGGGGAGAAGGGATGAGGAAGTGGTCCGAGATGGCCTTATCCACTATACTAAGGTCGGAAATGTCAAGGCCGTGGGTGATGACGAGGTCAAGGGCATGACCACGATATACAAAGTAAGGCACTAAACTCTTGTTTTATTAATCATTCAACATCACGTGGAATTCAGACATGTGTTAAACTCTGACTTTTGTTACTGTTGGGTTTAATTGTTCAGGCTAACCCATATGAGTATCAGAGGAAATGAGTTTACTTTCAGGGGCCATTCCCCACACACATGATCTTGTCTTACCGTCCACAGGAGGTCTTGGTATTTAATCAAATAGCGCATGATGTTGCTTGTTCCAGCAGCCATTGATAACTCCATCAACCCGCTTGCCTTTGAACAAAATCCTTTGAACATAAACAAGTTTGGCGCCATGACAACGGAAATGTTGTTCAGCGTCATTTTGTTGCTCTCTCTGTTGTCTATTACTCTCTGAAGAAATTCAAGCATTGCCTGCAAATGGATATGAATTATATCAGAATTATTTCCAAAGTTACCCTGCAAGCAGTAGAACTGGGTTTCATTTTAGCAGAAAGTGAAACGTTATTTCAACGATTTCTAAACAAATTCTTCTCTGTTATTATGTTTTTATTTTCAAATGGGAGCGGGGAATCGTTCCACTCAGCTCCTGTTAACCCTGCAAGCCAAAGCCCAACTGGACAAGCAGTGAGAAGTTTGACACACAGTGCTTTCAAAATGTCAACCTGTGAAGTTTTAGTTAGTTGAACTGCAAGTGTACCCCAACACACATTCTGGTGTTACGAAACCTTGGCTCTTGCCAACCTGCGTTATAATCTCTGTAATTAGCTAAGCAAGGTGCATTCCTCCAAGGAGAGAGTGTGCATTTAATTTCAAACATACGGAAATGTATATATGTTGGTAGTGTACGTAAGTGGAATTCTCACTCTGGTTTGTACACTCTTAAGCATTGTGATAGGTTTCTGCATGTGCAAAATACCTGATGACAAAAAAAAATCCCCAAGTCTGGATTCAAACCCAGCTCCCAAAGTTAAAAAGACAATGGGGAAACCCAGTACACTTCCCAAACTCCAGATGGCTATTTGTATAAGTCATAGCAATGCTTTTGCATGTACAATATTGTTACTCTGGCAATTTATTATTCATCTAGACCCTGACCATGAATGTTTCTAAAGTCTTCAATGCGAAAAGAAATGGGATCTAAATTGTGGTACATCTTAATGAGTTTCTTTAATACTTTTACAATGCAGTAGTTGGGGGTCCATAAATTCCCAACCAGTGCTCTAACAGACTGCTAATATCAGTCAGCTTTTCTGCATTCATTGTTCAAGGTCTCCACAAAGTCCTGTTATCCCCATGTTTTTTTCTACAGAGCACTCACCAACAACTGAAACATGTGAAAGGATGATGATAATTGTATTTAGAAGTACTTAATTGTATTCAGTACAAGTGTTTAACTGTAGTTAGACATCCAGAGGATTGGTGCAAGCACCATCATTTTCATGGCAGATAATGATCCATCATCATTATGTCATGCAGTGTGACATCTTCCGTAACATGATGGAGTGACGAGGCGAAATGCTTCTCTGACAGCTTGATTCCGCTGTTCCTCTGACTTATATCGCTGTTTTGTAATAAGGCATAAGAAAACTTTCCACCCTGTACATGAGTTTCCTGCCAACTCCCCACGTTAACAATTAGCCAATTTCTGTCTCATCATTTCACTGCTGACGTCACAATTGTGCAGAATTATTCCCCAGTTTCAAAGTGTGCTCTTGAGTTTTACATCGATATGATACAGACCTACCTTCAGCAGGTCTTGGTTTTGGTTGGGGAGCAAAAGCACCAGCAAATTAAGAGCCTGAAACTGAAGTTTTCTGGTTGAAAGTTCTGTAAATCAAATATTTGAAACTTGGTGTTATTAAAAGAGCATTTAATGTTTTTAAAAATATTCAATTATCTGAGAGCTGCACAAGCAAACATCCTCCTCAGAAAGGCTTTACCTAGGTCTCCTTCTGTTATTCATATTGTCATGTTGGTGACTGAGTCTGTACCAGAAATATATAGGCTGCATGTATTAGGGTCAATCACGTGTTGTTTTCTAATAGTGAATTCGTCATTTAGAGGTGAATCTCTCATTTCCCATTCTACTCTGAGAATTGGATTTCCTTTTATAAGTGAGAAATGAAAGGTTTGCTAGCATTACATAACAGTGGGCATTACACTCCAAGAAGTCAAGAATGACAGCATTGTGCCGAGCTGCCCTCTATTTAACTCCTATTGCAGGACCCAATCAAGTCAATGTTATTGACAAATTCCATTATAACCTGAGGACATTTCACACAGAATCATGAGTGAACAAAGCTCAACCAAAAGAAGTTCAGGAATACAAATTGCTCACAGCAACTGATCCCTGGCCTTCAATTCACTCTGAGCATCAGAAATGTGAGCTCAGTGTATGTGCCCCCCACACACATGCACTGAAATATATTTAATAATATAAAATAATAATAATCCTTGCATTTGGTATAGCACTTTTCACATCTTCTAGACGTCTCAAAGCGCTTCACAGAATATATTGTAAAGTGAATTGATTTGTGGGGAAAACGCGGCAGCCAATTGTGCACAACAGTGTCCCACAAACAGTCATGGATTGAAGTGACCAATTTATTATTGTGTTTTTTTCTTGAGGGATTATTATCAGGCATGTGGAGCAAGGAAGCTTTCCCAGGGTTTCGCCCTGCCAGGAATCAAACCCAGATCTCTCACTTGCGAGACGAGTGCTCCAACCACTGAGCTACAGGACTCCATATTTGTCACTCGTGCATATGACTACAGAGAAACCACCTTTATAATTATATTGGGAGATTAATTATATCTGTGTCCAGATTTTCTCTATTTTCTTGACATTTCAGAACATCCTGAATTTGACAAATTCTTAAATACAGTAAGCGCCCAGCTTACCAGACTGGTTATTCAGAATTCAAACCTAGCCGGACTGGGTCCAAAACCTAAATATTTTTTTAAAATTTCCACGGGCCTAAAATTTCTGCAGGCTGGCACATAGACCCTGCCAGGCCAAGTCTCCCAGTGCATGGCAATACCATTCTGAGCAGCCTATGTGTTGCCTGCAGCTTCCCGCCTAACCATCCTTGCTAGCCTTCACAACGGCCAGCCTTCACAATGTCCGCCTGTAGGCCTTTGGTGAGTGAGCAGAAAATAACTAAATTTAACATACAGTATATTCTCACATAAAAACACACAGTGCCAAAAAATGATGGTAAATGCTTTACTGGTCGTAATTACACTTAGTCAGAAATTCTGGTTCACCGTGACAGAATCTCTCCCCCATCAGTCCAGCCAGCTGGGATTTTAGTGTACCGACTTACTTTTTGAAACCAGCTTTCTGTACATTATTTTAAGAACTACAGGAAACCAGGCTTCAAAGTTAACACTGAATTCAACAATTTGCCAAATTCTGCACTCGGAGTTGCTGTTTGAGGTCCGAATACTGAAATGCTACATAAAAAGAGTAAAACTAGATTCAGGTGGAATTTCTCCCTCAATGTTTTTTCTCTTTCAGGTACAAGTTCGAAGTGGAATCACAAGCTGACCCTTAGAATCTCCACTGAGACATCGATCTCAGCTCTTCCTTCCTTGAAGTCAGCATTCATGCATCAGCCGTGACACAACCCGGATTAGCTTGTTACAGACCCATTTGTGATTCACACATCATAGAGTCTTACAACCAGGAAAAAGCTCTTTGAATTTCCTCTAAACTTTTGTTCCCCTTCAAACAAGAGAACTGAATTTGTTTGTATCATTTCAAAGTTTGGCACATTTCCAGGTACCACCACATTCAGAGTACATTACATTCAAAATCTTGAAAGTCTCATTCACAGAAATGTAAAATTAAATGTACACAAGAAACGATGTGTTTCCACGTGATGTTGAATGATTAATAAAACAAGAGTTTAGTGCCTTACTTTGTATATCGTGGAAAGCTTTGAGATATTCGACAGTGATAAGTGGGTAAGGCAACTCCCTTATGAAGAGCTTCAGTATGCTCCCTGCATCATGCTGACGCACATTGTCCCAGTTAAAGGTTCCTTCATAGAACTTTGCTTCCAGCTCTTCACAAAGACTCTTAACAAGTGGAAGAGAAAAAGAGTATCACATCAAGTTCCATCCCAAAGTTACACTGCATTCTCTTTCCTGCACAATACCCTCATCATGAGAAGTTACAAGTTGTTATAAAGAACAACTTGCACATTGGCTGATACCTGAAAGCACGTTACAGAGATAGAGCGGAATCCTAAGCAAGATGGAAAGTGGTGAGATAGATGGGAGTTGACCCAAAGGCATGATCGAAGAAGTATGTTTTTCGAAGGTTTTTGAAAACTGGAAGGAGGATGCGAGGTGGACGGATTTGGAGAGAGAACGTTGTATTTGAAAACTTGAATGTTGATAAACTGTCAAAAGAAGGCAACATTCCCAGCAGAGCAGAATAAGTGTTTTTTCCACACATCCCAACATGATGATGTAACCCCAGAAATGTATGGGAGCAGTGGTAGACTGAATCATCACACTGTATTGAACAAGCTTCTATAATGTGTCTAACTCATTATTATTATTATTAACTCAGACCACATCAACAGCCTGTGACATTATGTATCATTGCTGGGAGTTGGGGTTGTGATTCCTCATATAATGTACACCCTGAAGATGCAAGTAATAACAGACTAACTGCTAAACTCCAGGGAAGGGGAGATGACTGGACAATGAGTGAGTTGCATCTGGTAGGCTTCCCGCTACTTATCTCAAAACCAGCCTGGGAGAAGAAACCTGTCATCATGGCTTGTTCTCTTAGGGAATGGTCACCAATGCCAATCATTTTAAGAGTGATGCAGCAAGCCTGATTCTTTGCACTGACTTGACAGAAATTACTTAGAACTGTTCAAAACTCCTGGATATTGCTGAGGAAAGGTTTGAGGTCTGCAGAACTTCCAATCTTCCAGACCTACAGTAATCAGAGGCCCCAAAAATTCTTCATGGTGTAAGCCTTAAGACTACTTTATCTTAAAATTTGACAATTGTCAGATTTGTAGAAAATTCAGTAAATACAGTAAATATGAACAAATATTGTTAGATGTAAATAGCAAGTATATTATTCAGATAATCTTTCATTAAATTGAGTAATAAACTACCACAGGCAAATCCCTCTAGTATAGGCACAGACAGGGAAAAGTCCTGTAAGTTAACTAACCATCTATGAAAATATTCTGAATAGTACCTTTATTCTTGATGATACTCCAGGGATTCGTAGAATTCCTTCTGTGTCCAATCCCTTTTCCTCTATGTGGGAGACAAGCTAAAAAAATGTTTGTAGACTCACATCAGCAACTTTGTATGATACCAGATATATTTAACTCTGGGATAAAGACAGTGGCTACCTTCTGCAGATAAACATAGTGACCCACAACAACTTACACTTTCACAGTACCTCTCGCATAAGATGAATGTCTCGAAGTGCTCAACAGAATTAAACAATCTGACCAAATGCACAGTTAAATATATGTCTTTGGAAGGGTTTTGAAGGCAGGAAAAGAGAAAGCAAGGAAAAATTATTTGGGAAAAAAGTTTCAGACATTGAAGGTTCCATTCCCTTCTAAAGGTTGGTATAGGGATATGGTTACACAAACCTGTCACCTTTTAATACCACACCCGAATGGCCTTGTGAGCATGGACATTAAGTAGCTACATGACTATTGGGATATCTGATCAGCCTGATTTTGTCGACCCCAAAGATCTCTACATACACAAGCAAACACAACAGGGGTCAGTGGTCACTAATTAGCCACAGCAATTCATCCCTACCTTTTTTTACTTCTCTAGCCTAAGGATGTTAGGCTAACTGTAGTGCTCTCTCTACCTGCTGAGATGACCTAACTCAGCAGAAGATTTAACCTGGGACTTTCCTGATATGCATGACTCAGTTCTATTCTCAGTGCACTCATCACCTGAGCAATGCATCCTCTTTGGGAATTATTAATCTATTGGAGCCAGTGGTCTAGATCCTTTCTTTTAGAAAAAACACCAACAATTATCCTTAGACTTGTCTCAAGTGTTATAGGTACCCCGGGAGCTGTGCCAGTGCACCCTTTAATGTCTGGTACATTAAGCCTGCTCTGGCCCCTGGAGATGCTGTGTTAATCATGTATAACTCCTTCACTGGGGTGTGGACATAGATCAAAACATCAACTTGTACTTAAAAAGTACCCTACACGTAGAATAATGTTTCAAAGTGATTCACAAAGACAGAGTTAGACCTTGAGCAAGGGAGAAGGGATTGGAAGGCATGGACGATGGCAATGATCACACACCATATGAAAAATGTATGCAGCACTCAATCTGCACATTGTAAAAATGTGTGCAGCACTGCTGCTTAGAATGATTAAAATTAGATCTGTGTGAACACATTGTCAAGCGTCTAATGAAAGTTACTTTCAGTTCAATGGTTATCACGTTCTGCACTTACTTTCTGAAATATAAGTGGCACTTTGGTTCCTGGAATCTTTTTGTTATCTTGCTCTAACAGCAATGGAAGAGGAACTCCAAACAATCCCACTTCTGCAAGGAAAAGAGTGCAGAACTCAGAACAATGTAAAAACATCCCATGCACCAAATGTACTGTACACTATGGATCTAGTGTGATAAATCTGATTAGATTGTATTGAGGTCTAAATCAAAGTGAAAGAGTCCCCATCAGTGACTCAGTCCTTATTTAAGTATCTCTTAACAAATCATCATAAAATAGATCCCATTACAATAGAATCAATTACTCGCACTAACTGGAACCAGCCCCACTATGGATAAGGAAATAGAACAGTTAATTGGACATCATGCAAAAGTGTCTCCAACTAAAAAATTCTGTTAGAAGTCAAACTGTTACTATAATATCACATTGTGCCAATCCCTTCTCACTCAATCACTCTATCTGAATCAGTAATTCTTACTTTCTCACTGACTTATTTTCTTTCGTTGAATCTCTCTCTCTCTAAATTTCTCCCTCACTCTGAGTCTCTGAAACTTTCACTTTCTCTGCAAGTCTTTTCTTTCTCTGCATTTCACTCTCTCTCTCTTTCTCTGATTCTATAAAATTTACAATACAATTTATATTTATGCCATGTCTTTCACGTCAAACTTAACTGTGCATAGCTAAGTAAACACTTTCCATCCTTACCACTTAAACTGGTAAGAAAAATTCACTTTGCATATGTGCATTAAGTTACTTGACTCATGATTTACGTATGCAGTGTGAAAAAATCGCATCCCGCACATTTAATTCGATATTGAATTGACCAGTTTTGCAGTCCCATGCACTCTGAATTTGAGCTCAATATGGATAAATGAACAAGTGGATAGTAGGTGTCTGGATACACAGTTCTCTGCTGTAATTTGTATTCTGAATCATTACCAAAGATTTCTTAAAGGTATTTTATCTTGATTTCAATCAAAGTGAAATGATTCTGCTCCGATCTTTAAATGTGACTTTTTTTAAAATTCTACTTGTATAGTACTATAACTAATAATTTAACATTTGATTGCAGCTGCTTACAAGCCTGTGAGGCTTATTTTATGTTGATTGCTAACAGTTGTAATTTGGTACTATCTTTTCAGAGTGAAAAGCCTCATTGGAAGAACATACAAAGTGGTCATTGATTTAATGATCAGTTTAACCCCAGTGACATCTTTGGTACATTATTTACATTTTATAGCAGAAGAGTTTAAAAGCAGAGAGCTTTAACATTATGGAGCAATCCTTTGATGAAATTTTCCTTTCAAATAATTTAAGTGAATGATTTCCTTTTGAGACAGCTTTATGTAGGAAGTGGTTTCTGTGTGAATCCGGGTGCCACTGCCTCACACAGTACCGTGCCCATATTTGTACCTCGTCTTGATTCCTCGTTTGGGTTTACGTTGCGAGATTCACGAAAACAATTGTAAAGAATAAATCCTGGACGCATGGCTGACAAACCTTTGGAACTCGACTCAGACACTAATTTCACAGAGAGCATCATCCAAATAGAACTCTGGATGCAATCACCTCTGTTCCACACACAGAGATATATCTTTGTGTAGATGGTATGAATATATTGAGCTCTGGCTGGTTTAGATATTCTTAACCATGGTGCCAGGTTTCCACACGTGTCAGAAACCCAGCCAACCAAACACAAAATTCTCTCAGATCACCTGACACAAATGGCTTCCTTTCACTTTGCATCCTAAGGAGATTTCAGTGACACAAGATACCAATTAAATTTCTATTTTACAGTTTGCAATACAATACAATTTTCATTCATAGAGCACCTTTCACGTCAGGACGATGTCTCAAAGACCTTCAGATTTTCTCAGAGGAGTGCCTATTACTCACTTAACCATGAATAATACACAATTCCATTACCTTTACATTTGACTTTCATGGCTTTCGGGTGCTTTAGACTCACACCAAGTGTGTCGTACAGAGCAGACAGCTCAATCAAAGCCAGTGAACAAACTTTCTTTAAGTCCTGAGGTGCAAGATCACCCACTTTTGTGATGCCTGTCTTCTCCTTTGGCAATCGATAATTCTTAGCAAAAGAAGAAAAAAAATTAATAACCAAAATCAAGAACCATCAAATGTTTCAATACCAATTTTTACCCAAAATGCCTGTTTGTTTTGTGAAGCTTTTGTGTAAAACCCCCCCAGATTAATCAACTTTTTCCAACTTCCGGGAAGTTGCACAAGCATTGTCTCCCGTTCCCAACAATAGAAAAAAATCAGTAGAAAGAGATGGAAATTTAGATATTCAGATAGAGTGAGACAGAGGAGACAGGCAGATAGAGGCTCAGAGAGAGATTAAGAGAGAGAGAGAGAGAGAGAGACTGTGAGGCTATGAGAGAGAAAGAGAGAGAGAGAGAGACTGTAAAAGAGAGACAGAAAAACAAAGAGATTTTGTGAGAGTGAGAGTTTGATACTGAGATTAATACTGTGTGTATAAGAGAGAGAGAGTAGGCACAGCATGGCACTATAGTAACAGAATAGCTCCCGACAGAACAATATTTTAGTTGGCACTATAGGTAATTTATATAATTTCCATAATGTCCAATTATCCACACAGTTTCAACCCTCTGACTCAAACACTACTTCTGACACGAGCAAATGAAGTTTAATACACCAGGGTACTGCATTTTGCAAGTTAAATTGTCAACATATGTATATCCTGGATGGGACAGTACTTGAAAAGGAGGAAATTGAAAGAGACCTAAGGCTCGTGGCTCACCATATCAAAAGTGTGAATCAACAATAAAAAAAGTAAACAGGCTGTTGGGCTACATTACCAAATCATTTCAGTTCAGTTCCCCAGATGTAATGCTGAACTGGGTTTCCTTTCCTATACCTCTCATGATATTTCTGAGATATGCACCCATTTCAGAAAGGCACTATTTGTATTACATTAATGAAGTGTGTACAGTTTCACAAAAGTTAATGAAATAGAAATAAACGTGCAGGACTGAAACCGGAGTTACCCAAGGTGGCCTATTTAGGCTAAACTGCTCATCACAGGGTTGTTAACCTAGGACTGTACACATTCAGAACACAATGCACCGCTCTATGTAAATATGAATAGTAGGGATGTTTAGCCAGAATTTGAATGTGACTGCGCGAGACCTGTTTTTAACAAAGCACAGCATCTCTCACATCTGTCAGTCACTTCTTTCAACAAGCTTATTTGAATGATTTTTTAAGTGCTGAAGGTGACTGTAGAATTAACTGCCGTGCACACCACTCACTGGCAAGGATGCATCATCCTCTCCTTTCGGCTTCCCGTGCTTTGACTTTTCCCTCATCTCCGCGGCCTGCTCAGAATAGGATATTTCTAGGTTGATGTCAGGTTCAAACACCGCTGCATGTTGAATGCCTTCATTCTTCACATCTAGGTTCCCCAGCTGTCCTGGAAGGACAATAGCATTTATTACTCTCCCAGGCCGCTCACCTGAGACTCAGAATATCTCACCATCTTAGCCTGAAGACCACTGTTTCAAAACATAAGATTATGCAGAATCTTTGAAAATCCTTAAATTCAGACTAAATTTGAAAGTTGATTTCCTAGAATTCTTTTCAAGAACAATGTCAATTTTAAGACAGTGGTTTGAAAGCCCTTGGACCTATAAGTGAAGAATAATTGTGATTATACCAAAGTGTCAACTCAGACAGTCTGTAAGATCATAAGGGAGATTTGGCCCATTCGGTTACGTTTCAGAATACCAACCCTTCCCAATACAGCATGAATATACACATTGCTCACAAAATACAAAATACAAAAGACAGTCACATCACTTTACAATATGATACAATAAGAGGTGGATAGATACTTGTTAGGTCAGGTTATCAAAGGGTAAGGGGCAACAGCAGATAATTGGAGTTGAGGTACAGATCAGCCATAATCTTATAGAATGGTGGAACAGGCTCGAGGGGCTGAATTACCTAATCATGTTCCTATGTTCCCAATATATAATGTGAAGCACTTTGAGAGGTGTCAAAAGCATGATAAGGTGCTAAATCAAATGCAAGGATTATTATTTATCATGAAATTAATCTTGCACAATTCCAAAAGGACAGACGTAACTAAAGCAGAGAAGGCGACCATGAGGATGATTATTATTTATCTGTAAAGTGTGTTCCATACTTTCCAGTTTCTTTGCGCTATTTCCTTTCTCATTTCCGTTGGCAGCAGCAGCTTGAACTTCATCTGTATGTGAGGCCTGAAAGTCAACATAAAGAACATCTGTGTCTCTTTGTATATTGCCATTCCAGTCAGTTGATCACAGAGCAACAATTGATAAATGGGATAGGAAAGGATAAATCAACAATCGGTATATTGCAATGTTTCATCTGATCTTGTTGGAAACATTTAACATCTGCTCCTTGTGTGATGATATGAAATTATATTTAATGGATATTACATCCAAACATAACATAAACAACATACTCACAATTAACACAATGATTTCACTCAATACTGGGACACCATCACCCAGTGTAACAAATAAAAAATGACCCTTTATTAAAGTGGTAGTTCCCACATATAGAACCATAGAAATTTACAGATCAGGAGAAGGCCATTCAGCTTATCATGTCTATGCTGGCTCTTTTAAAGAACAATCCTTTCAGTCCCATTTACCTGCCTTTTTCCATACTCTTATAGTTTACTCCTTTTTAGATATCTCCCTTTGTAGATATGCTCACTATTTATTCATTTTGAAGGCACATAGGTAGGGAATAAAGGAATCTATCTCTTTGAAATATCCTACCATTTCTGGTAGTAATAATTTTGAAGCTATTCATATTTTTCATCATAAATCAAGAGAAGAAACATGTGCTTAGTTTATTTTCTATGATTACTTTGCAGGCATCTGGGCTTTGCACTTGAGCCCTGGCTCTGGGATTTGGAGACACTCAGAGAAGAAGAGCAGAGGTCAGTAACATGAAGTTGATATTAACTGCAAAATCTCAAATGGTCTTCAGAGTGAATGGAAGAACATTCTGACAGGTTCTCCTCTCCTCTGTCCCAGAAGTATGCACAAAGATGAATTATGTGACAGTTTTAAAACATTGCAGCTCTAATCACTGAAAAAATGTGGAACTGTGAAAAAAAAATTCTTCCAGATGAAGTTATCCCAGAGGTGCCCAGACGCAATGCCTTTCTCACCTGTGCTCTTCATTAAGTCAGCCTGTATCCACAATCGCAAAATTGCAATGAGGTAACAGAATGAATGTAAAATTTTGTGAAGAGCTTTTACATTTTGTGAAGAGCTTGAGGGGCTGAACAGCCTACTCCTGTTTCTATGCCTATGCATCTATGAGATGTCTTGACATCATGATACAGCCCTATGTCAAAATGCAAAGATTATGAATATTAGTACTGTATTATCATAGAATATATGTAAATTGAAGACTGAACCCATTTGATCAATAGTCCATAACATTGAATGTTATTCCTCTTATTGCTCGGCAGTACCATTGCAGGAGGCCAATGTCATTTGCATGCAGTTTACGTACTTGCACTATTAACTGTTATCCACTCTCTCCTACCCCTCAGGTACCTGCTATCACATAGCCAGCTATTCTTCACTCCCACCATAATAATAATAATAATCCTTGCATTTGATATAGCGCTTTTCACGTCAGGAGGATGTCCCAACGCGCTTCACAGAACACACTGTAAAGTGAATTGACTGTATATTTGTGGGCGAACGCGTCAGCCAATTGTGCACAGCAATGTCCCACAAACAGTTGTAGATTGAAAATGACCAATTTATTATTGTTTTTGGTTTTGGAGGGATTATTAATAGGCGTGTGGAGTAAGGAAACTTGCCCAAGGTTTCGCCCTCTGCCTGGAATTGAACTCAGGTCTCTCGCTTGCAAAGCGAGTGCTCTAACCACTGAGCTACAGGACTCCATACTAAAAATGCACAATGTTATTAAAGATTAACAATAATATTGCACAAGCAATATTTGTCATATGGGAACTGCAAGAAAATTAGAGATAGGCTTTCTTTTAAGATAGATCTTCTTACCTGTTTTGGTGTCATGGGCAGTGTGCTAAAAATGTCCCTGACGTCAGGAAAATGCTGTTTATTCTTTTTTCTCATTATCATCGTAAATGTTTCCACTCTTCTCTGAACAGCTTGTGCCTGGGTGCGAGTCAGCGTGGCGAGTAATGCTATGCTCTCCTGGGTATCTCCATTGACTAGGCCCGAAAGGCCTGCCTCCTTCAGCCACTCCGCTTCAGTTTCCTCTTCTTCATAGTCAGTAGAACCACCAATGGAACGAAAGGTAGGCAAAGGGTGATAATACAAAAATTGAAGATGATTTTGCTAAGGAAAATCTTACTTGTTTCTATAACTCTGAGCTACATCTATATAATATGCAATCTGGTGCTATAATCCATACTATAAACTGCAACTAGATTCTCAAATATATCTGCAATTATTGAATTGGACAGGGACTGGAAAGTTCAATATTGTATATGATAGTTTAGCTTGGAACATTGTGGTCTATTGTGTAATATGCATTATATGGATCACTCCCACCCTCGCTCGCCTCCACTGGCTTCCCATCCCCCAGAGGATCGAATTCAAGATCCTCATCTTCACCTACAAGGCCATTCACGGCCTTGCTCCCTCCTACCTCTCCGACCTACTATCCCTACTTACCTGCCCATACCCTCCGTTCCTCTGGCTCCGGTCTGCTCCACATCCCCCGCCCCAACCGCCCTACGATCGGTGGCCGGGCCTTCAGCCTCTCAGCCCCTAAGCTCTGGAACTCCATCCCCCAGTGCCTTCGCCGCCTCCTCCCTTTCCTCCTTCAAGGTCGGTCTCAAGACCTTTCTCTTTGACCGTGCCTTCAGCTCCCCTCTCGACTCTCTACACCCTCCTCGCTCCCTCCCTTCCCTCCCCTCACCCTGACCATTTCCCCTTTGCTCGGGTCCTGACCCAACTGTCCAGCGCCTTGGGACGTCCTCCTGACGTGAAAGGTGCTCTATAAATGGAATCTTGTTGTTGTTGTATGTGGTGTGTGCAAAAACACGTGTGTACAGAAGGAATTATAATACAGGCAGCTTTAATAATGTACTTAACCACAGAACCACAGAAATGTATGAAACAGTAGAAGTTCATTCACTCATTGTATTAATGTCGGTGTTTGCTACTCCAATGGAAGCATCTACCCAAATCCCAATTCCCTATACATTCCCTATACCCTGTAATACTCTTCCTCCACACACACCTATCTATTTCTCTAAAATGCCCTGATCAAAAGCCAACTTAGGCAATGCATTCCATATTCTGATAATCATTTGGAAGAGGGAAAACAAATCCCTAATTTCTCCTTTTACATTACTTCTTATAATTTTAAAATCCAGCGAAAGAGGTTTTATTAATTATGTGATTAACAATCCTTTCATTTGAAATTGCTTCTAGACATATATACATAGACACATATAGACACAAATACTACACATGATGCATAATAAACCCCACAATTGTAGTTTTTATTCTCTACTTGGGAGTAATGGTACCTTGCTACTATTATGGACCATTCCCTCTAAATGTTTCAGGCCTTGGAACATCTACCCGACATGAAAGGTGCTACACAAATGTAATTTGTTGTTGTTGTTTATTAACAGAAAAATGGGTGGTAATAGACCTACACCGCATGAAGGGCGCTATATAAATGCAAGTTGCTGTTGCTGATATTAGAATGCCATATGGAACTTGCAGAGTGCAAGATGTTCTTTTGAGCAAACACAGTTTCAAGTTTCTCCACATGACTGTAACCTCTCAATCCCAATATTATCCTAGTGCTTTATATAATCGTACCTGGATTCTACCATGTGTAAATGCAAGTTGTTGTTGTTATAAGCTCTCAGTGACTGTGATGTATTTTTCTACAATGGGATGACCAGAATTGGACACAGTACCCATTGGAGCATAACCATTTTTTTGTGTAAATTTAACTATGCCCTCATGGAGGCCTGTAGCTCAGTGGTTAAAGCACTTGCCTCGCAAGTGAGAGGACCTGGGTTTGATTCCCGACAGTGCAAAACATTGGGCAAGTTTCCTTACTCCACACGCCTCTGTTCATCTAGCAGGTAGTAAGAACCTGGTTGTTAGTCGATTGGCAGATCGCTTTTCTGGGGGTAGTAATCCCTTCCCAAAAATAAATAAATAAATAAAAATAATTTAGCCACTCAATCCACGACTGTTTGTGGGACACTGTTATGTGCAATTGGCTGCCGCGTTTCACCCACACAAAAAAATTGTCAATTTACTTTACAGTATATTCTGTGAAGCGCTTTGAGACGTCTCAAAGATGTGATAAGATGTTATATCAAATACAAGGTTTTTTTATTATATATAAAAACTGGAATTTGGCTTTCTTTTTTATGGTGTTGTCTGCTTGATCTCTTAAAAGTTGCAGAAGCTGCGGATGTATAAATAAAAAATAAGTAATATTTCACGTACCATCAGGATCTTTAATGACCATCTCTCCTTGCTCCACTTGCCCATTGCCCTGGCTCTCGTGAATTTGGTCCACTTCATTCCAGTAATAGTCCATGGACAACTCATCCAGAGAATCCTGAGAATTGGATCGTTCATATCGAGGCTTCTCTATGGTGCTTTTGGAGCCCACTTGGTTCATACTGTAGTGCCCATGCCTCCGGCTGGAAACAAAACAAAACCTTCCTTTGAAACAATGTTCACTACCATAGCTTCTCTCAAATTTGAATGTTTGTTCCAAAGATTTATCTGATTCTGTGAAATTTGAATAAAGCTAATTTTACCGAAGACTAAGTGAGAAATAATGTTGTATTGACATGTACGAATAGTAAAGTTACATCCCATTGAATGAAGCGCAGTAACTATATAATAGATATGATCACCTGGCTAACTAACTACACAGGACTACTGCACAGACAAAGTTGATTTATGACATTGCACCTGTTCACTGGCAGCACCTCTATAATAAAGATCCTCATATTTGAGATGAAACCTTATCATGTCAGGATGATGTCTCATAGCTTTTCACAGGATTTACTGCAAAGTGTATTAACTATGTATTTTGTAGGCAAACACAGCATTCAATATATGCCCAGAAATATCCCACAAACAGCCAATGAAGTGAGTGCCCAATTATATCTGGGGAATTGTGGTCAGGGCACTGAGAGAAACTCCCTTCTCTTTTCATATAGTTGCTTGGGATCTTCAACGACCACCTGAACAGCCAGACAGGATCTCAGATTAATGCCTCATCTGAAGGACAACACCTCTGACAATGCACACTCCACCAGCACTGCATTGGAGTGTCAGCCTGGACTATGTGAGTTCCAAATCACGATCTGGGGCTTGATCCCACAGCCTTCTGACTCAGAGGCCAGAGTTAGATGACTTCTGACATTTAGTAGTGCCAGATGAAAACTACAACAATGAGTACAATACTGTTTTAACCTCTGATCCCAATTTACACCAGTCTTCTGCCTTCTGAAAGACAGGATGCAAAACAAAAAATAAAAATAAAGTTTTTTAAAAAAGCAAATACAAAGGAAAATGCAAAACAGATAGAAGTGAATATGAAATATTGAATATTGAAGTTAAATGTTTATAGAAACATAGAAACAGGTGTAGGCTATTCAGCCCCTCAAGCCTGTTCCGCCATTTTATAAGATCATGGCTGATCTGTACCTCAAGTCCAGTTACCCGCCCTTGCCCCATATTCCTTAATACCCTGACCTAACCACTATGTATCTATATCCGTATTGAAAATGTGAATGGATCCAGCATCTACAGCCCTTTGGGGGAGAGAGTTCCAGATTTCTACTACCTTTGGGTGAAAAACTTAATCCTAATTTCACTCCTAAATGGCCTAGCTCTAATTTTAAGATTATGCCCCCTTGTTCTGGATTCCCCCACCAGAGGAAATTGTTTCTCTGTATCTACCCTATCAAATCCCTTTATTATTTTAAAAATGAAGTTGCCATTAGTGTGAGGGATCAGAGAGGAGAGTAAAATGTTGGATAATATTGTTCAGATTACAATCAATGCAAATATCACCTATTTACCTTTGGGGCTGGGAAGGGTGTTGAGTTTTGTTTCCTGCCCTTCTTTGTTGCCAGGTTTCTGTGTATCATACAATATTCCTAGCCGATTATTCTGAGAACAAAAACTGTTCCCAGGTCTGTGCCAATGCCATGCTGTGCCAGAGACAGCACAGGAGATATTGGCATGAAGCAACTAGTTTCCGCTCAATGCCTCTATTTGTTAACAGCTGGCTCTTAGCCACAGAATCAAAGTGCTGTGCCATAACAATGCCAACTGCTGCATTGGTTTGCTATCTACTCACAACTCTGACATCAATAGCAGGAAACAAAGGTTCAGAGGATCAATTTAAAGCAGTTGGAAGATTAACTAGTGCATAACTCAGTCTGTGCGAAAGCTTTTCATGTGTAAGTGCAGGTTTGTATAAACATCACGCTCCCTGCAGGAGTCCTTTCAAAGCCTGAAGGCAAAACAAAGCTCGCCAAATAATCTCATGGATAACCTATGTACAATAATAATAATAATCCTTGCATTTGATATGGTACCTTTTCACATCTTCTAGACGTCTCAAAGTGCTTCACAGAATATACTGTAAAGTTAATTGACTGTATATTTCATAGGTGAAACACAGCAGGCAATTGGCACAGCAGTGTCCCACAAACAGTTGTGGATTGAGTGACCAAATTATTATTGTTTTTTTTTCTGAGGGAATATTATCAGGCGTGTGGAGTAAGGGAACTTGCCCAAGGTTTCTCTCTGTCGAGAATCGAACCCAGGTTGCTCGCTTGCGAGGCGAGTGCTCTAACCACTGAGCTACAGGTCTCCTAGTGGACAATAGCGGAAAGCTTGCCAGATTGTGCTCTCAGTGGCAAGCTACGCAGTTTTAAGAACAATGACAACAAAAATTTGCATTTATATAACGCCCTTTGAGCTGGTTAGCATCTTGGAGTGCTTTGGAATGGTCTTGGAGTGCTTTAGCCAGTTAAACTCCAGCACACACAGCCCAACGCAATTCTGGGGTCCCCAAGCCTCGACTCTTGCCAACCTGTGCTAATTCTCTTCGGAATAAGATAAGCAGAGTGCACCACTCCAGGAAGAGTGTGTGCATTCCATTCCAAACAGAGAAATCTCCATGTGGAGGTGGCATAAATAAGTGAAACTTTCAGTCTGGTTTGGATATTCTTAAAAATGGTGATGGGTTTCCCGTATGTGTGGCTGACTAAGAATGAATCCTACCTATCCCATTCACTTGCACTTTGTTTCCTCCAACAATTTCTCCTCCTGACACCGCACAGTCACCTATTTTAAGTCCCTTCTGTGCTTCCTCCCTGAATGAGCGTCCAAGGATGAACATAAATAAAATTCCTTTATCATAAGTCATCCTACTTGGTTCCTTGCCTACTGCTCTGATTATTTCAAACTTCTTGACTGTTCCTTCAACCTTAGAATCAGTGGCCTTCTTGGCATCCTTTCCTTCCTCACAACTGGTCCCTGTCCAAAACTACAGTTCCTAATCTTCTCCACATTGCATATCTCTATCAATAGCTCATGTTTAATGTAACTAAATCTATTGTCCAAATCTTATCTCCAGACTGGACTTCACTAATGCTTTCCTTGCTAGCCTCTCCATTGACAAGTTCCAGCTGATCCAAAATCTAGCTGCTCATTCTTTACCCACACAGGTTTTACTTGCCCAACTAATTTTCATGTTTGATTAACCATTTGAAAATGTAGGCGATTCTGTAATGCCACTCACTGGTTGATTGTATAATTATGAGGACCTGTAATTTCCTTTTTTCACATGGTCAATCCTATCCACAAATTAGAACCCAAATTGTCTGTTTAATCTGAACCTGTGACGAGAGATGTTTGATTGAAGAAGGTCCTTAAACCATTTGATTACTACCTTCTAGAATACCCACACTTTCACATTGCAGCATCAAGCTGATTAGCAGTCTCACCTCTTCAAACCTTCCTGATCACCTATTCTAGATGTTATTTACCCACTGTGAAAGAAATACAGCAACTATAACAACAACTTGCATTTATATAACACTCTTCACACGGGGTAGAGTCCCAGAGTGCCTGAACGCCAAATACTGTATATCCTGACTTATGCATTCAACAGCGAGTTAGACCTTCACATGAGGGAGAGAGGAATAGAAGGCTATGGGAGGCAGAAAAATTGGGTGAAGATTCATGTGGGTGGAGTATGCAATATCAAATACAAGGATTATTATCCCATTTAGGATTTTATAAGAGTTAATCATACTCAAATAATCTGCCTACATCTAGGTGTGAAATATGTAGTACTTCATAATGTATTTATTGACTGTATTATGAAACCACACAGATTTTATCTGGCCTAGTTTACACATTCAATCTGTTCTCTGTAAGTACTGAATATAATCAACTGGTTGGGCCGAGTGGCCTGTTTTTGTGCTGAACATTCTTGTAAATCTGTTTCCTTTATTATTCTGAATCTGTACACTTTTATCTTCCTGTCATGGGATACCTGCAAATAATGTTCTGTGTTTTTTTTCTCCATCTGAGCTGGCTTAGATGGTAGCTCTCTTGCTTCTGAGTCAGTAGGCTGCGGGTTCAAACCACATTAGCTAGACTGACACTCCGATACAGTGCTGCATTGTTCGAGGTGCTGTTGTTCGGATGAGATGGTAAACCAAGATATCGTCAAGGAAACATAAAAGACCCCATGGCATTATTCAAAAAGAGAAGGGAGTTTCTCCTGGTATCCTGGCCAACGTTCCCCCAAATAAAATTGATTATTGAGCGATGTTGTGCACAAATTGGTTGCCACATTTGCCTTCAAAGTGCACAGTCACTACACTTTACAATAAATTCTGTGAAGGCATTTAGATATCGGCCCAACACAAAAGATGCAATATCAAATACAAGGATTATTATCCCATTTAGGATTTTACAACCATCTATAAGAGTTACGCATACTCAAATAATCTGCCTACATCTAGGTCTGAAATCTGTAGTACATCATAATGTATTCAGTATCACATTGAATGCATTTGAGATTTAACCTCTTGCCATCCTAGCTTACACATAAACATGTTCTCTGTAAGGATATCATATATCTGATAGAAAAGGAGAGAAAAAAAGGAGGGGGAAATCAAGAGTGAAAATAACAATAATGATAATCCTTGCATTTGATATAGCGCCTTATCGCGTTTTCAAGACGTCTCAAAGTGCTTCACAGCATATACTGTAAAGTGTAGTGACTGTGTATTTTGTGGGAGAAACACGGCAGCTAATTGGGCACGGAAGTGTCCCACACACAGTTGCGGAGTGAGTGACCAAATAATTTTTTTTTGAGGGGATTATTAACCCCCGGAAAGCAATCCGTCATTCGACTAACAACCAGGTTCCTACTTCACTTGCAACCACATCAGTCCCACCCTCGCTCGCCTCCACTGGCTTCCCATCCCCCAGAGGATCGAATTCAAGATCCTCATCCTCATGCTCCCTCCTACCTCTCCGACCTACTAACCCCCTACCTACCTGCCTGTACCCTCCGTTCCTCTGGCTCCGGTCTGCTCCACATCCCCCGCCCCAACCGCCCTACCATCGGTGGCCGGGCCTTCAGCCTCTCAGCCCC